AGAGTAACCCTTATGAAACTCTAATGGCCCTGAAGCAAAATAGTACAGTCGTTGATTCAGAGAAGATTCGAAGCTGTAGCTGCTTTGTTGGTGGAAGAGAAGGAAGAGATCCTGAACGCTGCGTTTCTGAAGGGTTAAAGGCAGAAATTCGGGCTGAGCTGAGGTGACCAGCCATTTCTCTTCTTCAAACAATAGAAAGAGCCCACAGAGTAGAGGAACGTAATGGGCTTTAGAAGAACTTAAGACAGGTCCAGCAAGAGCCAATAGGTGGAATGGGCCAGGATTAAATGTCGGTCAAACCATTTGGGATCCAGGAGTTTTAACCGATATCCACAACCCGACCGGAGAATCAATTAAAGCCCAAATTTAACTGAATCCCTAAAATCGAACTCATTCTCAAATTCTTTCTAAATTCGTTCTCCAATTTCTCAATCCTGGGCGAAAAACGTAGAGGGTCTGTCGTGGGTTCATCCCTGAATTCCTCTCCTCGCGAGTACACCCCTACAAACTTCAGATCTTTGACAGAACCCATCCACCGCGACGGGAGTTTCCCTTTCGAAAAATGACGGAGGCCGAAATACAGAGGAAAAGAGAAAAAGGGTTATGTTTCAAGTGTGATGGGAAGTATTTCTTGGCCATAAGTGTGGTGAGAAGCAATTTCAAGTAATCCTTGTGATGAGGAAGAAGAAGAAATGGATCCAGGGGACGTGGAAACCAGTGAAGGAACGACGACAGAACAAACCCAAGGTAATGTTGAACTTTCCCTAGCTCAGTTGTGGAATCAATGGCCCAAAAACGATGAAGTGAAGGGTATATATGGGTCAGGAGGTTATTATCTTGATTGACAGGGGGGCTCCACAATTTCATTAGCCGAGAGTTGGTTGAGAAGCTGGGTATTGCGGTAGAAAGAACACAGGCGTTTGGAGTGAGAGTTGGTGATGGATATAAAGTCCGATGTGAGGGAGAGTGTAAGGCAGTATGTTTGGGAGTCCAGAGGGTACAAATAACTCAAGATTTTTTTCCTTTTGAAATGAGTAGTGCAGATGTAGTGTTAGGCATGGCTTGGCTTGAAACATTGGGGGAAACGACAAATGAATTGGAGGCAGCAGGTGATGAAATTTAAATTGGGGGAAGAAACGGTGACAATTGTAGGGGATCCGCACTTAGCAAAACAATGGTTTCCCTGAAAGCCATGATCCGAACGTTGAGAAGTAAGGGAAAGGGTTACATGGTTGAATTTGGGCAGCTGCAAAAACAGTCAGACGAAGAGGTCAATGTCAGTAGCCCGCTGTTTCCGGTGTGGAAACTTTCAGATCCGTATTTGAGCCTTACCGGATTTGCCCCCTAGCAGCCCAAGACCATGCAATTAGGTTATTGCCAGATGCCAACCCCAAACCTTAGGCCTTATAGATATCCGTTTTACCAGAAAAACGAAATGAGAAAATCATTGGGGAGATGTTAGCCTCCGGAATTATTAAGCTAGTATTAGTCCTTTTCCAGTCCAGTGTTGTTGGTTAAGAAAAAAGATGTGGTTGGAGGTTTTGTGTAGACTATAGGGCACTCAATAAATTGACCATTCCTGACGATTTCCCATTCCGGCCATTGATGAACTGTTCGATGAACTTGGGGGGGCTGAGGTATTTCCAAGCTGGACTTAAAGGCGGGTACACATCAAATCAGAGTGCGCTCTGAAGACACGCACAAGACGGCTTTCGCACTCATGAAGGGCATTACGAATTCTTGTGATGCCTTTCGGATTGACCAACGCCCCATCCACATTTCAAGCTTGATGAACGAGGTATTCAGGTCTTACCTTCGGAAATTTATTCTGGTTTTTTTTGATGACATTCTGTGGTACAGCAAGTCAATGGAAGACCACATGCAGCACCTCAGTCTCATATTTCAGAAGCTACAGGAACACCAATTAGTGGCCAACCGAAAAAAATGTTCCTTGGCAACCCAAATTAGAATATTGGGCCATGTTATTTCAGCAAATGGATTGGCTGTGGATCCCTCTAAAATTGAGAGTATCGTTGACTGGCCCCGCCCGAAAGATATTAAAACACTCAGAGGGTTCCTGGACTGACCGGATAATACAGACGGTTTGTCAAAGGATACGGTAAAATCGCACTCCCTTGACTAACCTGTTAAAAAAAGATGCCTTCATTTGGGGTGAGCAAACGCAGGCCGCATTTGAAGCTCTAAAATCTTCCCTGACCAGTGTACCCGTGCTACGAATGCCGGATTTCTTAAACAGTTTGTTATTGAAACGGACGCATCAGGATGTGGGTTGGGAGCTGTCTTAATGCAGGAAGGTAGGCCTCTGCATTTCTTAGCAAAGGACTGTCAACCAATTCGAAACTCAAATCAGTTTATGAAAGGGAATTGATGGCTATTGTATTAGCAGTACAGAAGTGGAGACATTATTTGTTAGGCGACGCTTCCTTATCAGAACTGATCAGAAAAGCCTCCATTTCTTATGAACAGAGGTGCTGAATGAAGACCAACAAAAATGGGTGTAAAACTGCTCGGGTTACAGTTTGAAATTTAGTATCGACCCGGGCCTGAGAACAAAGCTGCTGATGCCTTATCCAGGCGGCAGAGAGTGTGGAAATTAACGCCATCTCAATGGGTTTTTCGGAGGGTTAGAGAATTAGAAGAGACCATCCAAAAAGATGACAAGTTGCGGCAGCTCACCCAGCAACTTATGGTCGATTCCTCATTGCCATCCTCCTTTCAAGCTAATGGGTAGACACCTTATGTATCATCAGGTGGTTGTTCCGAAACACGGCCCCCAATTCAAAAACTTTTGCATGAATTCCACTCATCCCCGATTGGAGGTCACCTGGATTTTTCAGAACTTACAAAGGTTGATGAATGTGTTTATTGGGATGAATGAAGAGGGATATCCAGACGTATGTGAACTCTTGCAGTGTGTGTCAACAGAATAAATATGAAGCACTGCGGCCAGCCGGATTATTACAACCTCTCCCTATTCTGTTCAGGTTTGGGAAGACATTTCTATGGACTTTATAGTGGGACTCCCAAAAGTGCACAATGTGGATACTACCTGGTGGTGGTCGACAGACTCACTAAATACAGTCATTCCTCACACTCAAACACCCTTTTACAGCAAAAGAAGTGGCAGCAGCCTTCATTAAAGATATAGTTAAGCTTCATGGGTTCCACGAACAATTGTGTCGGATCGCGATCGGGTGTTTATGAGCCATTTTTGGGGAGAATTGTTCAAACAGGCTGGAACTAAACTCATATGAGCTCGGCTTATCATCCACAAACGGATGGGCAAACGGAGGTTGTAATAGGTGTTAGAAAATTATCTCCGCTGTTTTGTGGGAAATCAGCCGGCAGTGGCCTCAATGGATTCCGTGGGCAGAATTCTGGTTCAACACTACATATAGCAGCTCCACGGGCATGAGCCCTTTAAAGCATTATATGGACGGGATCCTCCAGCATTGCTGAAATACACAGACCGTAACTCTCCAGTGGATGAAGTTAATCAACAAATGCAGACCCGCAACAGCATTTTACTTGAGCTTAAGGAAAACTTGCACAAAGCTCAAAACCGCATGACAACTTGCCAATGCAAAGAGAAGGGATGTCCGGTTTGAAGTGGGTGAATCTGCCTACCTGAAGTTACAGCCTTACCGTCTGAAATCTCTAGCTTACCGCAGTAATGAAAAAGCTAAGTCCCAGGTTTATGGCCCTACCAAGTCCTTGAGAAAATTGGTTCAGCCGCTTACAGGTTAGACCTACCAGAAAATGCCCGATCCATAAGGATTTCAGTGTCTCAACTCAAAAAGGTCAATTTCCATCACCACATATTCAGCCTCTTCCGGATTCACTGAATGAGGATTTGGTCTTAGTTGTGAACCAGAGGAAGTGCTTAAGCTCCGCAGGTTAATCAATGGGGAAAGGGAGGTTCTTGTTAAGTGGATGGGGTTACCCCACCATGAGAACACTTGGGAAGAATATGACACCCTGAACCTGCAATTCCTTCATTCCACCTTGAGGACAAGGTGGCTCTCCTTCGGGAGGGTATTGATACAACACGTGAAGGGCGAGTGTACAAGAAGCGTGGGAAGGAGCACCAGGGGATCAATAATATTAAAAGAAGCAACTAAAGTGTGAATTGAGGGTAGTGGGACAAGGTGGCGAAAGATTATTGGAGGAAGGGTTAATTCTGTTACAGGAAAGAATGAATAAAAGGAGCAGCAGAAGGGTAAATAGGAATCAAGAAGGAATTGAGGAAAAGGGGAGGTAGTTGGCCCTCGAAGTCCAGCAATCGGTTTCTATTATGTTTTAGCTTGGTCTTATTTTCATTGTAGTTAATTAATTCCAGTAGTCCTTTGGTTGAGAGAAGATCTAAGTGGTGTAAACTGAATCATCAATGAATACCTCTCCTCTGTTATTTTGGGAACTCTAGAGGTTACTATAAACTGCTGTTTGTCGTTTATGAGCTATTGCAGGTGTGAGTGATTGAGAAATCTGGGTAGGTTCGCATCACTTTCCAACAAAGTTTAGATATCATGATTTTAAATGAGTTGATGGGGTGGAAGGTGGAGTTTAGTGGTTTGACAATGCGAGGAAGTTGGTGAGGGTAGTGACCCCTCAAAATAGTGGGGTAACAGGGGATTGTTTTATAAAACCGGTTAATCGGTAACAAAACAGAATTATCAGTTCGATAAATAACTGGTTCAAGAGATAATTAGGTTCGATTTCAGTTTGGATTATCTCTTGAAATGAAAAACTGGTTCGGTTTAAAATATTAGTAATCCAGTCCGGTTACCCGGATTTCCACACCCTAGTAAGCAGAGGTCTTGATTATTGGATAACTTTTTTCTTTTTCTTTGTTTTTGGTTTCTGATTGTGCTTTACCAAGTTCTGGTGTGGTGCCTTAAATGGCAAAGCCTGAATGACACACTGCAATTGCTAGAACATTATCAAGAAGGAATTTATCTCCCAAATGGACTGAACTTTGATTCAAACTAATTTCACCCAAAGTCACATTACAATTACAAGAAGTTATCTGTGTTTGCTATAGTGTCAATGACAATTCTGATCAAATATCAAGTGAAGAAGATAAAATCAGCTTTCACAATACAAACTGGAAACTAGTTAACAAATTACAGGAGCCTTAAAAAAGAAGTACAAGAAACAGCTCCATTTTATCACATATACATCACCTCTACAAGTGAAATGTTTACACATATGTTCATCACATATTTTCAGCATGTAAGCCAAAAACTTAACCACTCACATTAGATGTAGTATCACTACTGACCCAATTTGTTGTCACAGAAATGGGTGAGGATGGCAGCTGGATGTGCTTCATCAAGGCAAGATCGTCACAATCTGGTGGCTGCTGCACACTCTTCAACTTGGATTCTCCACTTTCAATTCTCTTCAGTTCCTCCAAGATCTCATCCATGGCAGGTCTCATTTCCTTATTCTGTTGCAAACATAGAAATGCCAACTCTGCAACTGAAGTTGTCATCCTTTTGACTTCTGCATCTGACTGATATCCAAAAGATGGATCAATCAGATCCTCAGTTGCACGCTTTTGAATCCTGTTCATGGCAAAGTTAGCCAAATTGACCTCATGTCTATGCCTGTTTATATCAACAGCAGGCATTGATGATATGAGCTCAATCAGAACAACTCCAAAGCTGTAAACATCACTCTTATCGGTTAGCCGGTAACATTGATGATACTCAGGGTCAACATAGCCTGGAGATCCTTGTGGAGCAGTTGAAACATGAGTAACATTATTGGGGAACCATCGCGAAAGCCCAAAATCTGCAACTTTTACACAAAAGTTGTTGTCAAGAAGAATGTTGTGAGTCTTGACATCACGGTGTATGATATCAGAAGCATGGAGATAGACCAATGCGCTGGCAGTTTCAATGGCGATGTTCAAACGAATAGGCCAAGTGAGTGGACCAGGCTTCGCTCGATCACCATGGAGATGATCTGCAACAGTTCCATTGTTAACATATTCATAGACAAGGAGGAGGCCCTGCGGACTGTCACAAGGAGTGCAGCCATAGAGGGAGACCAGATTTTTATGGCGCAAATGTGTGAGGATCTTAATTTCATTCATAAACTGCTGATGCCTTCTGTGGTTGTGCTCATATAGACGCTTGACAGCAACTTCCCGTTCATCGCGAAGTTTTGCTGATTGAAAAGGGTGAAATAGGCCATTTAGCAACCGTTAAGTAAGTCCTTCTAGTTTTTTTCTTCTTTTCTCTGGAAATTAGATACTACATTCAATTGAAACATAAAAGAGTTTATCTTCTTACCATAATATACCGTTCCAAAACCTCCGTCTCCAACTTCATTCGCCTCACTAAAATTATTGGTAGCTTCTGCAAGTTCTGTGTAGGAGAAGATAGGGACCCCATAATAGGCACTGCCTAGTTGCAGCTCTGAGTTGGAGGAAGGATTGGAAGCAGTGTATCTTGAGTTGAAGTTATCATATTTTTGTTTCTTACGACGACGAATGAACCAAATTAATAGAACCACTATAAGGACTGCTAATCCTCCAACTCCAATTCCTAATAAGCAAAGATAACAATTGCAAATTTTATTGCCAGCCAATGAGGAAAACCACAAAATACTTATCAAATATTACTCAGCTACGGTTGCATAGGAGCATATGAGGCAGAAATGGAATTTTTCATAATTATAACATTTGATTTGATAAGAGAGGTATATTACCTACTCCTATGCCTATCTTCAATAATCCATTTTCTGCAAATAAAAGTACAAATGCAACAGTGTTAGTAGTTATCTGCATCACCCAAATATGTGACAGGATCATGCAAACAACTGATAGAACTGTTCTGTCTGAAACTATTGCTGTGACAAACTAAGCAGCTTACTAACTTCCTCCAAAGTCCAAACCCAAGTGAGGGACCAATCAAAATCGAAGAGAATTATTCAATTTGTGGCATGATATTAAACAATAAGTTGGAACAAGAAATAGCTTTATAAATATATAAAAAAATGACTCCCAACTTCGAAGAATAAACAAATATGTTAAAGTTCTAGTACCTCGTAATGTAAGTTTATCATACCTTTTCGGGGCTTTGGACATTGAAAATTTCTCTGGTTGTCAATTCGACATTGGCTTCCTCTATTATTACAATCAAGACATTCCTTCGTCACATTCACCTGAATACGGAACCAGCCAGTATACACATTAAAGTAATCAACACCCTTTGGAGTGTTGTTCATTTGAAGCGGAATAGGTGAACAGTCAAGAGGACTTAATAGTTCTCCATGATTTGAGCCGTTGTAGTAGATAATTGAGTGGTTGCAGTCATTGCAAAGCGAACCGTAATCTTCTGGGGCAGTGTAAGGCGAACCGGGACATTGGAACAGGATTTGATTTTTTGGTAACACCTCAAAAGAGAGAATAGGAGAGCTGAGAATGGTAAAATTTTTCAAGTATTCAACACAGCAACAGAGATCGAAAAGCTTTTCATAATCTGGTTTCTCTTGAAGCAGAAGCGTATTATCCTTAGTGATGCATGTAACATGAAACAGTAGCCCATCCTTCCCCAGTCGTATCGTCTGAACTTGTTCATTGCAGCCTTCTATTGTCAAGAATCCACAGTCAGGATACGTTTCATTGGAGAAGGGTAAGCTTAAATTGCCGAAAATTTTACAATCGAAATGTTGACATTTTTGGCTGGAGCCCTTCTCTTCTTGAGCCAAACAAAGAATTAAAAGATGAGAGATAAAGAAGAACACAAGATAAGGCACACCAGACATTCTAAAAACTAATCACTAACTGGCAACAGATTTTACAAACATAAGAACTCTTTGAAAAAACTTGATATCTTTTATTTTATTTGTGGTGCTGCATTTTCCCTGTACTTTCAGTTGTTTATCCTCTACAACACGCAGTTGACTTGGAAAGTAGACGGCGAAGACTTGTAGACATGAGAAAGTTTGGGACAGTTTCTAAATCATAAAGGGGTCCAGTGATGGGGAAAACTTTATGGACTGGTCTTCCAATAACTGGAAAAATCAGAAAAAGATCTTCTCTTCTCTTATTTTATTTACCTACAACTCTTATGTTACATGTTAAATATAAATCATAGTTTATAATATTATAACAAAGTTTAAAAAAATAATTCTACCTTAGACATCAAGCTACTGCCATTTCAATTTTCAACTAACTAACCTTTAGTCAGTTATAAGCTGACTGAAATCTGCTTTTTGATTGACTTACATCTTTGGAGTAAGTGATAAGAAGGTTAAAAAGGTTTAATTTAATGTCAGAAAGCATCTTGATTACTGTCATTTATGATGCTCATATTATGTTTGAATTATTGAAGATGTTCAAAATAAAATAAAAATTCCCTTTCTATATGATTTTTTTATTTATGTTATGGGTTTTTTTGTTATTATTTAAATTATTCTATATTTGTGTTGTATTGAGTCAAAATAATGGGAAATATTTTACAAATGAGTGTGAGAGTCGTTGGGAATTATCTTTCTGTTTTTTTTTTTTTTTTTTGGTACAATTTTTTGGAATGTTTTCTAAAATTTTAAATTTTCTATTATTATTATTATATCAAATGAATTGTTATTATTTTAAATAAAATATTTTAATGAGAGGTTAAAAGTTACGGGTTTAAAGTGTAGTATAGTTTTATTGTAAATCAAATTCTATGGTAGATAACTTATCTCCCTGATATATGTTAAATAAAAGTTCTTGAAGTAATTGCCTTCGTTAGTGAACCAAGATCTCAGGGCTGGAATATTTATCCAACTAACGGTAATAGATGGAAGTTAGGGCCAGGGGTAGTTTTTGATGATTTATACATATTGTTATTTTGTTTGGTGATGGCTGAAAATATAGGGGCAGTTTTGTATAAGTGCCTAATATTAATTCAGTAATTAAAAGATTACAACAAAGAGATAATTGAAAAATATATTCATTATCCACACTGTGGATCGCAGCTTGTTGGCAAAAACCTTAACAACTGACACTAAAATTATTGGTAGCTTCTGCAAGTTCAGTGTAGGAGAAGATAAGGACCCCTAAGTAGGCACTGCCTAATTGCACTCTAGTTTGAGGAAGGATCAGCAGAAGTGAATCTTAAGTTGAAGCTTGCATATTTTTGTTTCTTGCGACGAAGACAATGAACCAAATACGAATAGTGTTGATGCTCCTCCAATACCTTAGGAGCAAAAGAAGAGCTATATAAATTTCTGACCAGGACATATGCAGCAGAGAAATGATTTAAGTATTAATAGACTCAAATGTTCCTCAATGAAATGATGTTACCTATTCCCAGACTAGCTTCAATTTTTCGTTTCATCCTTGCAACAGAAGCATCAATTTAAATGGTGTTAGTTTACAATAAAACTACGTGAATAAAAGCTGCAGAACGGCTTCCCATCTGAACCAAATACGTCTTGCTCAAAAAACAAAGCTGCTTCTCCAACCCAGGTTAGTGATTGAAAAAATATGTATATTTGGGCGTTATAAGAGTTCTTTATTTAAATCAAGAGACCATACTTAGATAGGAAGTCTTTGTAAAACAGGTAAGGAGGACATGAATGCTTACATGTACTAGTTCAATTACCTATTTCAATAGCATTGCACAATAGAACTTTCGATTGCTATCAATTTCGCATTTCCCATTCGGTTGTAACAGTCGTACATTTTTCTGTTACATTCACTTGAAGACTGAAGAAACCAGTGTATAAATTCAAGAAGGCGAGACCCTTGGCGTCTTGGTCATTTGGAACTGATACGCGTGCACTGTGGAGGGGGAATTGATAATCCACCATGAATTGGGCCGTCGTGAAGAATCGAGTGTCTGGAGTCATTGCAGAGAGATTTGTAATAAATGGGACTCTGTAAAGAGTACGGACAATTGAACAGGGTATGCTTGTTTGGTGATAGATCCATCTGCTTTTTGATTGACTTACATCCTTGGATTAAGTGATAAGAAGGTTAAAAAGGTTTAATTTAATGTCAGAAAGCATCTTGATTACTGTCATTTATGATGTTCATATTATGTTTGAATTAGTGAAGATGTGGAAGGAAAGGAACAGATTTTGACTTTTCAAAGTTTATGTTCCACTATTGAAAATTATCTACAATATATGAACACTTGAATACAGGTGCATTTGTTTCATAATCTCTCCCCAATCCTATCCAAAATATATATTTATTTCTTTATTTTAAAAATATTATTCTATTTTATTTAATTTTTTATACCCCCTAAGTTTATTAATTTAACTAAACACTCCAAAAAAATTAGAAATTGCAAAAACACCCCACCAACCTATATTTGCCAGATTCTAGCCACCATCGCTGGAAGGTGGCTAAAATCTGGTATAATGGCGCACTACCGGCTGGATCTAGTTGGTAGTAACAGATCTAGCTTTTTCCTACAAGATCCATGATGGATTTGGATACGATCAAGGATCTAGCTGTCAAAGGCTAGATCTTTGGCCATAGATTTGACATTTTCTAGGCAAATCCACCATGTTTCTAACTGGAAAAGGTCATATCGGCGTATGACTGGCCAGATCCAGCTGGTCGTGCACTGATACGGCGACTTCGGCCATCCTCCGGCGGTGATGGCCGACTGCCTGTATTTAATGGGTGGCTAAGGGTGTTTTTGTTAATTTTTAATGTTTTATTATAGAGGTGTTTAGTAAATTAACAAACTTAAAGGGGTATTTTTGTTAATTTTCAAATACTACACCTAGATTCCATATTTTTGCATCTGAAAAAATAGTTACAAAGTGTTACCTTTGCAAACAATAAACATTGTTATCTGCATCATCCAAATTCATGATACGATCATAAATAGAAAAGAAACATTAAAACTGTAAACTAATATACAGCTTGTTGTGACAATCTAAGTTAGCTTTCTGATTTCCTGCAAACCCAGGTGACAAGGGAACTGAGGCTAATCAGAATCAAAGAATTAACTTCCAACATGAAACCAGAATGTGCAAGTTCTAGTACCTTACTGTTTCTTTGGTCATACCTGTTCTAGCATTTTGACAATGAAATTTTCCCTGGTGGTCAATTTGGCATTCACCTCCTCTATGAAAATGACAATCACGACATTCTCAGGTTACATTCACTTGAAGTTGGAGCCAACCGGTGTAGAAATTCGAGAGGTCAAGACCATTTTGAGCCTTGTTCATTTTGGATGGGATAAGTGAACAGTCAGAAGGAACTGTTGATGATCCATCATGATGATTTGAGCCATTGTAAAAGATAATGGAGTGTTTGGAGTCATTACAGGTAAGAGTATACTTTACGCGGAGGTTGTGATTCGTCTTACCCTGACATTTCAACATGGTTTGATTGTTCGGTTGTAATGCTTCAAAAGACATAAAAGAAGGGCTAGGAATGGTAAAATTTCTCAAGGATTCAACACAGCTACGGTTGTACAAAAAAGGCTTTTCCAATCCAGGCCGATCTTGAGGCGTAAGCATATTCGTATCATCATTCATGATGGTTGAAACATAAAAAAATGGCCCATCTTTTCCCAATTGAATACGCAGAACTTGCTCTCTGCAGTGATCTATTCTCAAGAATCCACATTCAGGATACGTTTCATTTGAGAAGGGGAATCCCAGAAGCCCAAGATCTCCACAATGGAAAGAATGACATTTTGGCCAGAAGCCCTTTTCTTCTCGAGCCAAAGAAACAAGTAAAAGATAAGAGATAAAGAAGAAGACAAGATAAGAGACACCAGACTTTCTAAGAACTTAACTCTAGTTGGCAACAAATTTAACAAACTAAGCTCTTTCAGAAACTGGTGTTGAGTTCTTTAATTCTATCATTCTGATGCTGCATTTTCCAGTACGTTCAGTTTTTTAACCTCTAGACCACGCAATTGACTTGAAATTCTGTTTGTGAAGACTTGAACAAACCGCAAGTTGGAAAACGTTTGGACTGAAAAATAAAAAAAATCACAAAACCACCCTTATATTTTCAGCCACTACTTAGCACTATTTACAAAATCATCATAAACCACCCCTGGCCCTAACTTCCATCCATCACAGTCAGTGACAAAGGGATCTATTTAAAATTTGACCATAAATTCCCTTGTACAATCTTTCTGTAACTCTTTATATTCTTATGAACTTACATTTTACCCCTTAAAAAATCATTTTTTTTAATTCAACTTTTAAAATATTAGATATTCTTAATTTTTTAATTATTTTTTTGTATTATATATTATTTATCTTTCATTTTTTATTTTACTTTACTAAACCGCTGTCAAACACTAAATTTTATTTAAAAATTCTTATACTTATAATTTGATATAAAATCTCATTTTTATATCTTACTCTACTTAAATTTTATTATTGATAACATAAAATTTACCAGAAGAAAATAAATTTGAGGAATTCAAGTTTTTTAATATTAACTTTCGAATATGATTTTTTTAAATTTATGTTATGGGTTTTTTTGTTATTATTTAAATTATTCTATATTTGTGTTGTATTGAGTCAAAATAATGGGAAATATTTTACAAATGAGGTTGAGAGTCGTTGGGAATTATTCTTTCTGCTTTTTTTTTTTTTTTTTTTGGTACAATTTTTAGGAATGTTTTCTAAAATTTGAAATTTTCTATTATTATTATTATTATATCAAATGAATTGTTATATATTTTAAAATAAAATATTTTAATGAGAGGTTAAAAGTTACGGGTTTAAAGTTTAGTATAGTTTTAATTTGTAAATCAAATTCTATGGTAGATAACTTATCTCCCTGATATATGTTAAAATAAAAGTTCTTGAAGTAATTGTCCTTCGTTAGTGAACCAAGATCTCAGGGCTGGAATAAATTTATCCAACTAACGGTAATAGATGGAAGTTAGGGCCAGGGGTAGTTTTTGATGATTTTATACATATTGTTATTTTGTTTGGTGATGGCTGAAAATATAGGGGCAGTTTTTTATAATTGTCCTAATATTAATTCAGTGCAATTTAAAAGATTACAACAAAGAGATAATTGAAAAATATATTCATTATCCACACTGTGGATCGGGCAGCTTGTTGGCAAAAACCTTAACAACTGACACTAAAATTATTGATAGCTTCTGCAAGTTCAGTGTAGGAGAAGATAAGGACCCCTAAGCAGGCACTGCCTAATTGGAACTCTAAGTTAGAGGAAGGATCAGCAGAAGTGAATCTTGAGTTGAAGCTCCGATTCCAATACCTTAGGAGCAAAAAGAAGAGCTATATAAATTTTCTGACCAGGACATATGCAGCAGAGAAATGTAATAGACTCAAATGGTTCCTCAATGAAATGATGTTACCTATTCCCAGGACTAGCTTCAATTTTTCTGTTTCATCCTCTGCAACAGAAGCATCAATTTAAATGGTGTTAGTTTAAACAATAAAAACTACAGTGAATAAAGATGCAGAACGGCTTCCCATCTGAACCAAATATCAGTCTTGCTGCAAAAAACAAAGCTGCTTCTGCAAACCCAGGTTATTGATTGAAAAAATATGTATATCTAGGGCCATGTTATGAAGGTTCTTTATTTAAATCAATGAGACCAATAACTTAGAAATAGGAAGTCTTTGTAAAACAGGTAAAGGAAGACATGAATGCTTACAATGTACTAGTTCAATTACCTATTTCAATAGCATTTGCACAATAGAACTTTCGATTGCTATCAATTTCGCATTTCCCACTTCGGTTGTAACAGTCGGTACATTTTTCTGTTACATTCACTTGAAGACTGAAGAAACCAGTGTATAAATTCAAGAAGGCGAGACCCCTTGGCGTCTTGGTCATTTGGAACTGAATACGCGTGCATTGTGGATTGGGAATTGATAATCCACCATGAATTGGGCCGTCGTAGAAGATAATCGACTGTCTGGAGTCATTGCAGAGAGATTTGTAATAAATGGGGACCCTGTAAAGAGTACCGGGACACTTGAACAGGGTTTGCTTGTTTGGCAATAGATCAAAAGAGATAAAAGAAGAATCGAGAATGGTAAAATTTTTTAAGGATTCAACACAACTATGGTTTCCAAAGGCTTTTCAGTTGATCTCGAAGCACAAGTGAATTATCCCTATTGATGTAGTTAATATAAAATTGTTGCCCAAAGCTTCCCAGTTGAATCCACGGATTGTTTACAGCCTTCTACTCTTAAGAATCCACACTCAGAATACGTTTCATTGTAAAAGGGGAAGCTTAAATTGCCGAAAATTCCACAATCGAAATGTTGACATTTTGGGCTGGAGCCCTTTTCTTCTTGAGCCAAACAAAGAATTAAAAGATGAGAGATAAAGAAGAACACAAGATAAGGCACACCAGACATTCTAAAAACTAATCACTAACTGGCAACAGATTTTACAAACGTAAGAACCCTTTGAAAAAACTTGATATCTTTTAGTTTATTTGTGGTGCTGCATTTTCCCCGTACTTTCAGTTGTTTATCCTCTACAACACGCAGTTGACTTGGAAAGTAGACGGCGAAGACTTGTAGACATGAGAAAGTTTGGGACAGTTTCTCAATCATAAAGGGGTCTTCCAATGACTGAAAAAATCAGAAAAAGATCTTCTCTTCTCTTATTTTATTTACCTACAACTCTTATGTTACATGTTTAATATAAATCAAACATAGTTTATAATATTACAACAAAGTTTAAAAATAAGTTTACCTTAGACATCAAGCTGTGCCATTTCAACTAACCTTTGGTCAATTATAAACTGACCGAAAATCTGCTTTTTGATTTACTTATATCTTCGGAGTAAGTGATAAGAAGGTTAAAAAGGTTTAATTTAATGTCAGAAAGCATCTTGATTACTGTCATTTATGATGTTCATATTATGTTTGAATTATTGAAGATGTTCAAAATAAAATACAAATTCCGCCATGCAGAAGGAATGGAACAGATTTTGACTTTTCAAAGTTTATGTTCCACTACTGAAAAATATCTAAAATATATGAATACTAGAATACAAGTACTGAGCCTTAAAAAGAAGTACAAGAAACAGCTCTTCTTATTCTATCATACTCTTAGAGCCTGAACCAGCTCATAGTTCTTGAGCTTTCTGCCTTTTAGGTGCAGGATGTTCGCATGAAACTTAACAAGTGAGACTAGAAGCAATGTCACTGCTAACCCATTTTGACGTCACAGATGTTGGTGACAGACTGATATTCTTCAGCAAGGAAGCCTCTTGACAATCTGGTGATGAAACTGTTCGCCGCATACTCTGAACTACATTATCATTGTTTAGATTCTCTGGCTTGCACTCTCCACTTTCAATTCTCTTTAATTGCTTCAAAACTTCATCCATGGAAGGTCTCATTTCGTTGTTTTGCTGCAAACATAGGAAGGCCAGCTCTGCGACTGAAGTTGTCATCCTTTTAACTTCTTCATCTGATTGATATCCAAGACATGGGTCAATCAACTCTTCAATTGCAGAGTTCTGAATCCTGTTTACTGCTAAGTAAGCCAAATTAATCTCTTGTTTCTGCCTATTCATATCAACAGGAGGCATTGATGAAATGAGCTCAATCAGGACAACTCCAAAGCTATAAACATCACTCTTATCGGTTAGCTGATAACATAGATGATACTCAGGATCAACATAGCCAGGAGATCCTTGTGGGGCCGTTGAAACATGAGTAGCATCAACGGGGAACAATCTGGAAAGCCCAAAATCTGCAACTTTTACATTGAAACTATTGTCAAGAAGAATGTTGTTAGTTTTCACATCGCGGTGTATAATATCTGAAGCATGGAGGTAAGCCAATGCACTAGCTGTTTCTATTGCAATGTTCATACGAATTGGCCATGGAAGGGAAACATGCTTCGCTCTTCCGCCGCAAAGATGATCAGCAACAGTTCCATTAGGAATGAATTCATACACCAGGAGAAGACCCTGCGGACTGTGACGCGAAGTGCAGCCATAAAGGGACACAAGGTTTTTGTGGCGCAATCGAGTGAGGATCTCAATTTCATTCATAAACTGTTCAAACTTTCTGTGGTTGTGCTCATGAAAGCGTTTCACTGCAACTTCTCTCCCGTCTTCAAGTTTTGCTAATTGCAAGGGTTCAAATAGGCCATTTAGCAATCAATCAGGTCTTCCTCTAAACTACAAATATTTAACAGAAACATAAATTGTTTAGCTTCTTACCATAGTATACTCTTCCAAAGCCTCCATTTCCAAGTTCTTTCTCATGACTAAAATTATTAGTGGCTTCTGCAAGTTCTTTGTAGGAGAAGAGCGGTACCCTAAAGCAGACACTGCCCACTTCCAGTTTTGATCTTGAGGAGGGATCGGAAGAAATCAATCTTGAGTTGACGCTTGCATATTTTTGTTTCTTGCGACGGCGTATGAACCAAATTAACAGAACAAATATCACGACGGTTGATCCTCCGATTCCAATAACTATTAAGCAAAGATAAAGAAAGTTGAACATTAGGTCGCAGAGAAACATATGAGGCAGAAAAATTAGAAAAGATTGACGAGGAACATTACCAATTCCTACGCCTAGATTCAATATTTTTGCATCTGCGAAAATAGTTACAAAGTGTTACCGTAGAAAACAATAAATATTGTTATGTGCATCCTCCAAATTCATGAAACGATCATAAATAGAACAGAGACATCAAAACTGTAAACTAATATACAGCTTGTTGTGACATTCTAAGTTAGCTTTCTGATTTCCTGCAAACCCAGGTGACGAGGGAACTGAGGCTAATCAGAATCAAAGAGATGCATTCATTTTGTGCCATTAAAGAATTAACTTCCAACATGAAACCAGAATGTGCAAGTTCTAGTACCTTACTGTTTCATTTGTCATACCTGTTCTAGCAATTCGACAATGAAATTTTCCGTGGTGGTCAGTTTGGCATTCACCTCTTCTACGAAAATGACAATCACTGCATTCTCTGGTTACATTCACTTGAAGTTGGAACCAACCGGTATAGAAATTCGAGAAGTCAAGACCAGTTTGAGTCTTGTTCACTTTGAATGGGATAAGTGAACAATCAGAAGGAACTGCTGATGATCCATGATGATGATGATTTGAGCCGTTGTAAAAGATAATGGAGTGTTTGGAGTCATTGCAGGTAAGAGTATAATTTACGCGGAGGCTGTGATTCGTACTACCCGGACATTTCAACATGGTTTGATTGTTTGGTTGTAATACTTCAAAAGACATAAAAGGAGGCCTAGGAATGGTAAAATTTCTCAAGGATTCAACACAGCTAGCGTTGTAGAAAGGAGGCTTTTCCAATCCAGGTCGATCTTGAAGCGTAAGAGTATGAGTATCCGTATCCGTATCCGTATCCGTATCATCTTCCGTGATAGTTGAAACATAAAATATTGGCCCATCTTTTCCCAATCGAATACGTTTAACTTTCTCTCTGCAGTGATCTACTCTCAAGAATCCACATTCAGGATATGTTCCATTGTAGAAGGGGAATGGCAGAAGGCCAAGGTCTCCACAATGCAAAAAATGACATTTTGGCCGGAAGCCCTTTTCTTCTCGAGCCAACGAAACAAGTAAAAGATGAGAGATAAAGAAGAACACAAGATAAGAGACGCAAGACATTCTAAAAACTCAACTCTATTTGGCAACAGATTTAACTCAACTCGTGTTGAGTCTTTTAATTCAATCATTTCTGATGCTGCATTTTCCCCGTGGTTTCATTTTTCTAACCTCTAGACCACGCAGTTGACTTGGAATTCTGTTTGTGAAGACTTGAACAAACCGAAAGTTAGAAACGTTTGGACTGAAATGATAAAAGAAAACTACAAAAGCACCCTTATATTTTCAGCTACTGAAAACACTATTTACAAAATCATCATAAGCCACCTCTGGCCCTAACTCCCATCCATCACCGTTAGTGACAAAGGGGTCTATTAAAATTTGACCATAAATTCACTTGCAGAAACCACTATAACTCTTTATATTCTTATGAAATTGCATTTTAGCCCTTAAAAAACACTTTTTAATTTTAACTTTTAAAATATCATATATTCTTAATTTTTTAATTATTTTTTTGTATTATATATTTTTTATCTTTCATTTTTTATTATTTTACTTTACTAAACTGCTATCAACCACTAATTTTTATTTAAAAATTCTAATACTTCAATTTGATATAAAATCTCATTTTTAGGTCTTACTCTATTTAAAATTTATTATTGATAACATAAAATTTACCAGAACAAAATAAATTTTAAGGAATTCAAGTTTTTTTAATATGAACTTTTGAATATGATATTTTTTAAATTTATATTATGGTTTTTTTATTTAATAGTATTCTATATTTGTGTTGCATTGAGTCAAAATAATGGGAATTATTCTTTATGCTTTTTTTTTTTTTTGTATAATTCTTATAGAATGTTTTCTATAATTTGAAATTTTCTATTATTATGATATTGTTGAACAAGTCGTCACAGTCACAAAATTAAACCTAAATACCGTAGTTAGCGATAAGCAGGGTCGAATCCACAGGGACCAAGACTAACAACCTAATGTATTTTGAGTAGTGGAAATAAAATTGGCAATTGATTAATGAAACTAAATAAACTAAATGCGAATAATGAAAGAGTGAAATTAAAACTAATAAAGACTTTATAATAAAAATGTTACCGTTACGGTTTTGGTTCGACACGAGACCAACTCACACAATTCTTCTCCACCCTCTACGATCCCCTAAACCTACAAGGCAAAGTAAATTAATGAAATGGCCTCCCAGCACTCTAGGTATAATCTATCATGTCTCACCCAATCACTCAAGTTTGATTTGTTAAAGACTATCATTAAATGCCGATAAACGCTACAAGACAATACCACTAGTTAGTATGCGATTAACAAATACAATTTGTCAACACGTAACTTTCAATCAACCAACTTCACAATAAACGCAACAACAGTAGAAATAAAATTAAATCCGAACATAACTCAATTACAATCAATGCGAAGTAATAAAAAGCAATATTCATCATTTAATTATTTCAAACCAACGTTTATCATTTAGCGAGTTCAATGAAAACATTAAATCATAATGGACAACAATATTCATCATAGATTATGCTCAAATTATATTAAAGTATCGAAATCAAACATGAAACGAAAACAAATATAATCTGAAGCACAATACTACCAAATGTCCTATAATCGGGCTCATTCAACTAGTCGAGAGCTGATGAACAGAGTCGTGGAGTCAATCTCGATCTCGCCTATACCGTAACAGACAAACGGGAACTTAGCTACTCATGGTGGTGATGACGGAGGCTGAAACGGTGGAAACGAAGCTGATCATGGCGGAGAGGAGGTAACTGACAGCGATATGATGCAAAAAAGGGGCGAAAACGACCGACAGACAGCCCAGAATATAAATAGTCGCGGGTCTTCCGAAAAATGGTGGCGGAAATGGGATTCAAAGGTACCGATGGAAAGCTCTAGTGATGGGGAGTTCAGATCAGGTCTTGGGGAGGTGAAAAGTCGCTGGAAATGAGCAGGATCTCGGCTAGAAGATGAAGAGTCGTGGTGGCTAGATGACGGATTCCGGCGGTTTTTGCGTTGGCTGAAGCTTGGGATGTGTAGAACCAGCCGTGGGGAAGGGAGATCAAGTCCTGGGGAGCCGAAACGTCGCCAGAAAACTACAAAATCTGGCCTGGAAGGCGAAAGGTCGCGGTGGTGGAAGACGAAACGTCGCAGTGTTTCCGTGATTTACGGTGGCAGTTTGCGGTGGTTTTGGTGGCTGATGATAGAGGCTGAAACAGTGAAATGGATCATCACCGGAGGCCGCCAGAAAAGAAGCTGAGGAGTTGCCGGAAAAGATGGATGAATAGCCTCCTATATGCGACCTTTCATCTTCATTTTATAGACAACCTGCAAACTATCACTTTGGTCCCTACATGATTGAAAATTAACAGAATCAACCTTTGCAAATATGACAGTTTACCCCCTAAACAGCATAAATGAGACAAAATCACCCCTAATTCATAAACCACAACCTAATATCAACTCATATCCTTTCCAAAATCATTCCAAACATGTTAAATTCATAAGAAAAATATTAGGAAGCGATTTTAGTGAATAAATTCATAAATTCTTTAATTGTCTCAATATACTTCAATTTAATCACACTTGGGGTATTTTTATCACCAAAATAGAGTGACTTTCATGACTCTAACAGATATCAAATGAATTGTTATGTATTTTTAAATGAAGTATTTTAGTGAGAGGTTAAAAATTATGGGTTTGAAGTGTATAGTTTTAATTTGTATATCAAATTCTGTGCTAGATAACTTATCTCCCTAATATATGTTTAAATACAAGTTCTTGAAATTATTATCCATCACAAGTGAACCAAAATCTCAGGGCTGGAATGAATTTATCCCACTAACGGTAATGGATGGAAGTTCAGGCCAAGGGTAGTTTTTGATAATTTTACACATAGTGTTATTTTGTTTGGTGATTGCTGAAAATATAAGGGTGGTTTTTGATAATTGTCCTAATATTAATTAAGTGCAATTTAAATGATTATAACAAAGAGATGGTTGTTTAACGTAGACATCAAATTACAAGATGAGAGATAAAGAAGAACACAGTATAAGAGACACCAGACATTCTAAATACTGAACGTTAATTGGCAACAGAGTTAACAAACATCAAAATTCTTTGAAAAACCTCTAGACCACGCAGTTGACTTGGAAAATTTTGGATGGTGAAGACCTGCACAAACCCAAAGTTGGGGCAGTTTATAAATCATGAATGTTGAGTGATGGGAAAACCTAATAAATATATCTTCTCTTAACTCTTAAGATACATGCTTCATATTTAATTAAGTGCAATTTAAATGATTATTGACTGACTTAACATCGGTTATTCATTGGCTTGTATGTTTGGAGCAAGTTATAAGAAGGTGGAAAGGATTTCACTTCATGCGAAAAGCATCTTTTTAAGTGTCACTTTATGTTATAGAAGAAAAGTTTTCCCCAGCTGGAAGGAAAGGAACAGGCTTTAACTTTTCAAAGTTTAGTGTGAACACTAGAATTCAAGTTCAGAGCCTTAAAGTTACATTGAGAGCGTAAACTAGTTTACAAACTTGAGACTTCTCTTCTAAGTATGCACAATTTGGGTGAATAGACACTTTTATGAAACGTAAAAGTAAATTTGTGAATGCAAAACACTTACTTGAAAGCCAAAACCCTTAGAAGAAAATTACAAACAGATGATAATTGAAACACAATTTCATCATCCACTAGATGTAGTGTCACCACTAGCCCATTTTGCGGTAACAGATGTAGGTGACAACCTAATATTCTTCAGCAAGGAAGCCTAATCGCATTGTGGAGATGAAGCTGCTGGCGGCATACTCTTCAAATCATCATCATTGTTTAGATTCTTTGGCTTCCACTATCCACTTTCGATTCCCCTCAGCTTCTCCAATATCACTTCCATGGAAGGTCTCATTTCCTTGTTCTGTTGCAAACATAGAAATGCCAGCTCAACAATTGAAGTTATCATTCTTTGAACTTTAATTTGACATAAAATCTCATTTTTAGGTCTTACTCTACTTAGAATTTATTATTGATAACATAAAATTTACCAGAACAAAATAAATTTGAGGAATTCAAGTTTTTTAATATAAACTTTCGAATATGATATTTTTTAAATTTATGTTATGGGTTTAAAAAAAAAAAAAAAATTATTCTATATTTGTGCTGTATTGAATCAAAATAAAGAGAAATATTGTAAAAATTAGGTAAGAGTGGTTGGGAATTATTCTTTATGCTTTTTTTTTTTTCCTTTTTTTTTTTGGTATAACTTTTATGGAATGTTTTCTATAATTTGTAATTTTCTATTATTAATATACCAAATAAATTGTCATATATTTTTACATAAAATATTTTAATGAGAGTTTAAAAATGACGGGTTTAACGTGAAGTATATTTTTAATTTGTATATCAAATTCTATGTTAGATAACTTATCTCCCTAATATATGTTAAAATACAAGTTTTTGAAATTATTATCCTTCATCAAGTGAACCAAACATGCCCTAACATAAAAGGTTAAATTGTTTATTAGCCGTTACTACATTATAGTAGATTTAAAACATGATAACAATTATATTTATAAATTTTTTATTAGAATTTGATTTGTAATGAATAAACAATCTAAAATTGATCTAAAAATCTTTATTTAAAAATAAATAAATTTCAATTATCTTACACTATTACAGTATCAATCACTTTATGAAAAGTAAAAAGCCAAATAAACTCTTTATAAAATAGTGTTATTTAAGCGCCACTAAAACTCTTTATAAACTCCATCTATCAATTTTTTTTTTATAATTAAATTTAAAAGTATGTTATCATTTGAAATTATTAAAATATCCCTACCATCTAGATTAAATACAATTAATATTCAATAACCAATTTTTTAAACAGATGATTTTAATTCAAGATTGAGAATTCCAGCAAAAGTATTTAATTTATAATTGGCATTGATAGATGATGATTTGTATAAAAAAAAATTCTCATATTCTGCCTTTTTCCTTCAGTCCAACATCACTCCGGCAATTAGTAATTTAGGGTTGAGAGTACTTGATTAATACTGTGATTTAGTCTTTTTTTAATATCCAAATATAGAAGGCATTATTTTTAAGAAGGAATGATACAAGAATTAAGTAGAAGGGTATTTTTGTAATAAAATATAAAATATTTGGAAGTTAATTCTTTTAATTGATTTTATTTAATAATGGGGTTTAAACAACGCCACTGTTTTGACCCCCACTATTTTCCTCTTTAGCCCCATCTTTAATTTTGGGTGAAGATATAATTGTAATAAAATAATTTATTCTTCTTCCCCAATTTTATTCACTTCAAAGCTTTATATTTACTGCCCTCAAAAATTAAAAGTAAATTAAATAAATTATGATTAACAATAAAACACAATTTCTTCAATGGAAATTTGTGATACGTATATTGTTGAACAAGTCGTCACAGTCACAAAATTAAACCTAAATACCGTAGTTAGCGATAAGCAGGGTCGAATCCACAGGACCAAGACTAACAACCTAATGTATTTGAGTATGGAAATAAATTGGCAATTGATTAATGAAACTAAATAAACTAAATGCGAATAATGAAAGAGTGAAATTAAAACTAATAAAGACTTTATATAAAAATGTTACCGTTACGGTTTTGTTCGACCGAGACCAACTCACACAATTCTTCTCCACCCTCTACGATCCCCTAAACCTACAAGGCAAAGATAATTAATGAAATGGCCTCCCAGCACTCTAGGTATAATCTATCATGTCTCACCCAATCACTCAAGTTTGATTTGTTAAAGACTATCATTAAATGCCGATAAACGCACAAGACAATACCACTAGTTGTATGCGATTACAAATACAATTTGTCAACACGTAACTTTCAATCACCAACTTCACATAACGCAACAACAGTAGAAATAAAATTAAATCCAACAGAACATAACTCAATTACAATCAATGCGAAGTAATAAAAAGCAATATTCATCATTTAATTATTCAAACCAACGTTTTCATTTAGCGGAGTTCATGAAACTTAAATCAATAATGGACAACAATATTCATCATAGATTATGCTCAAATTATATTAAAGTATCGAAATCAAACATAAACGAAAACAAATATAATCTGAAGCACATACTACCAAATGTCCTATAATCGGGCTCATTCACTAGTCGAGAGCTGATGAACAGAGTCGTGGAGTCAATCTCGATCTCCTCCTATACCGTACAGACAAACGAACTTAGCTACTCATGGTGTGATGAGCGAGGCTGAACGGTGGAAACGAAGCTGATCTAGGGCGGAGAGGAGGTAACTGACAGCGATATGATGCAAAAAGGGGCGAAAACGACCGACAGACAGCCCAGAAATAAATAGTCGCGGGTCTTCGAAAATGGTGGCGGAAATGGGATTCAAAGGTACCGATGGAAGCTCTAGTGATGGGGAGTTCAATCATCAGTCTTGGGAGGTGAAGGCTCTGGAAATGAGCAGGATCTCGGCTAGAGATGAAGAGTCGTGGTGGCTAGATGACGGATTCCGGCGGTTTTTGCGTTGGCTGAACTTGGGATGTGTAGAACCAGCCGTGGGGAAGGGAATCAAGTCCTGGGGAGCCGAAACGTCGCCAGAAAACTACAAAATCTGGCCTGAAGGCGAAGTCGCGGTGGTGGAAGACAACTCGCAGTGTTTCCGTGATTTACGGTGGCAGTTTGCGGTGGTTTTGGTGGCTGATGATAGAGGCTGAAACAGTGAAATGGATCATCACCGGAGGCCGCCAGAAAAGAGCTGAGAGTTGCCGGAAAGATGGATGAATAGCCTCCTATATGCGACCTTTCATCTTCATTTTATAGACAACCTGCAAACTATCACTTTGGTCCCTACATGATTGAAAATTAACAGAATCAACCTTTGCAAATATGACAGTTTACCCCCTAAACGCATAAATGAGACAAAATCACCCCTAATCATAAACCACAACCTAATATCAACTCATACCCTTTCCAAAATCATTCCAAACATGTTAAATTCATAAGAAAAATATTAGGAAGCGATTTTAGTGAATAATTCATAAATTCTTAATTGTCTCAATATACTCAATTTAATCACACTTGGGGTATTTTTATCACCAAATAGAGTGACTTTCAGGACTCTAACAGATATCAAATGAATTGTTTGTATTTTTAAATGAAGTATTTTAGTGAGGGTTAATATTGGTTTGAAGTGTATAGTTTTAATTTGTTATCAAATTCTGTCTAGATAACTTATCTCCCTAATATATGTTTAAATACAAGTTCTTGAAATTATTATCTGTCACAAGTGAACCAAAATCTCAGGGCTGGAATGAATTTATCCCACTAACGGTAATGGATGGAAGTTCGGGCCAAGGGTAGTTTTTGATAATTTTACACATAGTGTTATTTTGTTTGGTGATTGCTGAAATATAAGGTTCAGTGATCTACTCTCAAGAATCCACATTCAGGATATGTTCCATTGTAGAAGGGGAATGGCAGAAGGCCAAGGTCTCCACAATGCAAAAAATGACATTTTGGCCAGAAGCCCTTTTCTTCTCGAGCCAACGAAACAAGTAAAAGATGAGAGATAAAGAAGAACAAAAGATAAGAGACACAAGACATTCTAAAAACTCAACTCTAATTGGCAATAGATTTAGAAAACATCATAACTCTTTGAAAAACTAGTGTTGAGTTTTTTAATTCAATCATTTCTAATGCTGCATTTTCCCTGTGGTTTCATTTTTCTAACCTCTAGACCACGCAGTTGACTTGGAATTCTGTTTGTGAAGACTTGAACAAACCGAAAGTTCGAAACGTTTGGACTGAAATAATAAAAGAAAACTACAAAAGCACCCTTATATTTTCAGCTACTAACAAATAACACTATTTACAAAATCATCATAAGCTACCTCTGGCCCTAACTTCCATCCATCACCGTTAGTGACAAAGGGGTCTATTTAAAATTTGACCATAAATTCACTTGCAGAAACCACTATAACTCTTTATATTCTTATGAAATTACATATTACCCCTTAAAAAATCACTTTTTAATTTTAACTTTTAAAATATCATATATTCTCAATTTTTTAATTATTTTTTTGTATTATATATTTTTTATCTTTCATTTTGTATTATTTTACTTTATTAAACTGCTATCAACCACTAATTTTTATTTAAAAATTATAATACTTTAATTTGATATAAAATCTGTACTCTACTTAAAATTTATTATTGATAACATAAAATTTACTAGAACAAAATAAATTTTGAGGAATTTAAGTTTTTTTAATATGATATTTTTAAATTTATATTATGGTTTTTTTTATTTAATAGTATTCTATATTTGTGTTGTATTGAGTCAAAATAATGGGAATTATTCTTTATGCTTTTTTTTTTTTTTTTTGTATAATTTTTATGGAATGTTTTCTATCATAGAAATTTCCTATTATTATGATATCAAATGAATTGTTATGCATTTTTAAATAAAATATTTTAGTGAGAGGTTAAAAATTATGGGTTTGAAGTGTATACTTTTAATTTGTATATCAAATTCTGTGCTAGATAACTTATCTCCCTAATATATGTTTAAATACAAGTTCCTAAAATTATTATCCATCACAAGTGAACGAAAATCTCAGGGCTGGGTAGTTTTTGATGATTTTATACATACTGTTATTTTGTTTGGTGATGGCTGAAAATATAAGGGTAGTTTTTGATAATTGCCCTAATATTAATTAAGTGCAATTTAAATGATTATAACAAAGAGATGGTTGTTTAACGTAGNAAAAAATCAGAAAAAGATCTTCTCTTCTCTTATTTTATTTACCTACAACTCTTATGTTACATGTTTAATATAAATCAAACATAGTTTATAATATTACAACAAAGTTTAAAAATAATTTTACCTTAGACATCAAGCTGTGCCATTTCAACTAACCTTTGGTCAATTATAAACTGACCGAAAATCTGCTTTTTGATTGACTTATATCTTCGGAGTAAGTGATAAGAAGGTTAAAAAGGTTTAATTTCATGTCAGAAAGCATCTTGATTACTTTCATTTATGATGTTCATATTATGTTTGAATTATTGAAGATGTTCAAAATAAAATAAAAATTCCGCCATGCAGAAGGAATGGAACAGATTTTGACTTATCAAAGTTTATGTTCCACTACTGAAAAATATCTAAAATATATGAATACTAGAATACAAGGACTAAGCCTTAAAAAGAAGTACAAGAAACAGCTCTTCTTATTCTATCATACTCTTAGAGCCTGAACTAGCTCATAGTTCTTGAGCTTTCTGCCTTTTAGGTGCAGGATGTTCGCATGAAACTTAACAAGTGAGACTAGAAGCAATGTCACTGCTAACCCATTTTGAAGTCACAGATGTTGGTAACAGACTGATATTCTTCAGCAAGGAAGCCTCTTGACAATCTGGTGATGAAACTGTTCGCCGCATACTCTGAACTACATTATCATTGTTTAGATTCTCTGGCTTGCACTCTCCACTTTCAATTCTCTTTAATTGCTTCAAAACTTCATCCATGGAAGGTCTCAATTCGTTGTTTTGCTGCAAACATAGGAAGGCCAGCTCTGCGACTGAAGTTGTCATCCTTTTAACTTCTTCATCTGATTGATATCCAAGACATGGGTCAATCAACTCTTCAATTGCAGAGTTCTGAATCCTGTTTACTGCTAAGTAAGCCAAATTAATCTCTTGTTTCTGCCTATTCATATCAACAGGAGGCATTGATGAAATGAGCTCAATTAGGATAACTCCAAAGCTATAAACATCACTCTTATCGGTTAGCTGATAACATAGATGATACTCAGGATCAACATAGCCAGGAGATCCTTGTGGGCCGTTGAAACATGAGTACTCACGGGGAACAATCGCTGGAAAGCCCAAAATCTGCAACTTTTACACTGAAACTTTGTCAAGAAGATGTGTTAGTTTCACATCGCGGTGTATAATATCAGAAGCATGGAGGTAAGCCAATGCACTAGCTGTTTCTATGCAATGTTCATACGAATAGGCCAGAAGGGAAACGTTCGCTCTTCTGCCGCACATAAAGATCAGCAACAGTTCCATAGGAATGGAATTCATACACCAGGAGAGGGACCCGACTGTGGAGCGAAGGCAGCCATAAAGGGACACAAGATTTTTGTGGCGCACATCGAGTGAGGATCTCAATTTCATAATAAACTGTTCAAACTTTCTGTAGTTGCGCTCATTGAAAGCGTTTACTGCAACTTTTCCCGTTTCAAGTTTTGCTGATTGCAAAGGTCAAATAGGCCAATTAGCATCAAATTCAGGTCTTCTCTAAACTACAAATATTTACAGAAACATAAAGTGGTTTAGCTTCTTACCATAGTATTACTCTTCCAAAGCCCCATTCCAAGTTTTCTCATGACTAAAATTATTAGTGGCTTCGCATATGTTCTTTTGGAGAAGAGCCGGTCCCTAGACAGACACGCCACTTCCAGTTCTGACTTGAGGCGGGATCGGAACGCAGAATCAATCTTGAGTGTGGAGCTGTGGATATTTTTTTCTCGTACGGCGTATGACCAAATTAACAGACAAACTATCGACGGTGGTGATCCTCCGATTCAATACCTATCTAGCAAAGATAAGAAATTTGAAAATAGGTCGCAGAGAAAACATAGCGAGGGCAGAAAAATAGAGAAAGATGAGAGGAACATTACCAATGTCTACTGCCTGAGCTTCCATATTTTTGCAATCGCAAAAAATTAGTTACAAAGGTGTACCTCGAAAACAACAATAAATCATTTGTTATGTGCATCCTCCAAATTCATGAAACCGATCATAAATAGAATAGAGACATCTAAAACTGAAACAATATGGACGATTGTTGGCATTGTCTAAGTTAGCTTTCGATTTCCTGCAAACCCAGAGGTAGACGAGGGAACTGAGTAATGCAGAACAAAAGAGCTGCATTAATTTGGCTATTAAAGAATTAACTTCCAACAAGAAACAGCATGTGCAAGTTGTAGTACTACTCGTTGAATTTGTCAACCGTCTCAGCATTTCGACAATGAAATTTTCAGTGGGTGGTCAATTTGGATTCACCTCTCTAGAAAAACAACAAATCACGGCTTCTTGGTACATTCACTCGAATTGGAACAGCGGTGTAGAAATTCGAGAAGTCAAGGAATGTTGGCTGTCTGTTCATTTGAATGGGATACGTAAAGTTGAGAAGGAACTGTTGATGGTCCATGATGATGAGTTGAGACGTGGAAACAAGATATGGAGTGTTTGGGAGTCATTGGCAGCGCAAAGAGTATTAAATTTACGAGGAGGCTGGAAGGCAGTAATGGCGGACATTCAACATGGTTGATTGTTTGTTTGTAATATCTTCAAAAGACAGAAAGGGCGGGAATGGTCAAATAGTCTTCAAGGATTACCAAAGCTATGGTTGACAAAGGAGGCTTTTCCAACAGTCGACTGAAGCTAAGGTATGAGTATCCGCTGCTGTATCCGTATCCGTTAATCGGTTCGTGATAATTGAAACATAAAACATGTGCCAGCTTTTCCAATTGAATACTGTGGAAACTTTCTTCTGCAGTGATCTACTCTCAGGAATACAACATTCAGGGATTGTTCCATGGGAGAAGCGGGATGGGCGGATTGCACGAGCGTCTCAGCAATGGATAGGATGACATTTTGGCCGGAGCCCTTTTCGTCGTCGAGCTAACGAAACAAGTAACAGATGAGACGATAAAGAAGAACACAAGATAAGCAGATCACAAGAAATTCTAAAAACTAAAAACGCGAAATTGCAACGATTGAAAAAACATCTAACTCTTGAAAAACTCGTGTTGAGGGGGGTTTTTTAATTCAAGCATTCTGATGCTGAATTTCCCGGGTTTCAATTATTACCCCAGACCCCGCAGTGACTTGGAGTTCGTTTGTGAAGACTTGAAACAAAAACCGCAAGTTGGAAAACGTTTGGACGAAATGATAAAAGGAAATACAAAACCACTTATATAAGCAGTTTTTGAATTTTAACTTTTAAAATATTCATAATTGTAAATTATTTTTGTTTTTTTGTATATAATTTTATCTTTGTATCTTTCATTTTTATTTTACTTTACTAAAACGCTATCAACCATAATTTTTAATTTAAAAATCTAATGCTTATTTGATATAATAAATTCATTTTAGAGGTCTTACTCTCTTAAACTTATATGATGAAACATAAATTTTACCGAACAAAATAAATTGGAATTCAAGTTTTTTAATATTACTTTGTAATTTAATTTAGTTATGTTTGTTAATTTTTATATGGGACGTTTTTTTTACATATTCTATATTGTGTTGCTATGAGCAAAATAAGGGAAATATTGTAAAAATGAGGTGAGAGTGGGTGGGATTACTATTTTTTTTTTTTTTTTTTTGGTATTAATTTTTAGGAATGTTTTCATATTTGTAATTTTATTATTATGATATCAAATGAATTGTTATGTATTTTTAAATAAAAATTTTAGTGAGAGGTTTAAAATTATGGGTAGAAGTGTATGTTTTAATTTGTATATCAAATTATGTGGCTAAACTACCATAATATGTTTAAAACAAGTTCTTGAAAGGATTATCCATCACACGGAACGAAAATCTCAGGGCGGGTCGTTTTGATGCTTTTATAATAGGGTGCTGAAAATATAAGGGTAGTTTTTGATAATTGCCCTAATATTAATTAAGTGCAATTTAAATGATTATAACAAAGAGATGGTTGTTTAACGTAGACATCAAATTACAAGATGAGAGATAAAGAAGAACACAATATAAGAGACACCAGACATTCTAAATACTGAACTCTAATTGGCAACAGAGTTAACAAACATCAGAATTCTTTGAAAAACCTCTAGACCACGCAGTTGACTTGGAAACTTTTGGATGGTGAAGACCTGTGCAAACCGAAAGTTGGGACAGTTTATAAATCATGAATGTCGAGTGATGGGAAAACCTAATAAATAGATCTTCTCTTAATTCTTAAGATACATGCTTCATATTTAATTAATTGCAATTTAAAAAAAAGTTGTTTCACTTAGACATCAAATTGCTGCCATTTTAACTAACTTCTGGACAATTATTGACTGACTTAAGATCGGTTATTCATTGGCTTGTATGTTTGGAGCAAGTGATAAGAAGGTGGAATGGATTTCACTTCATGCCAAAAACATCTTTTCAAGTGTCACTTTATAAAAGAAAAGTTTTCCCCAGCTGGATGGAAAGGAACAGGCTTTAACTTTTCAAAGTTTAGTGTGAACACTAGAATTCAAGTTCAGAGCCTTAAAGTTACATTGAGAGCGTAAACTAGTTTACAAACTTTGAGACTTCTCTTCTAAGTATGCACCATTTGGGTGAATACACACTTTTATGAAACCTAAAAGTAAATTTGTGAATGCAAAACACTTACCTGAAAGCCAAAACCCTTAGAAGAAAATTACAAACAGATGATAATTGAAACATAATTTCATCAGCCACTAGATGTAGTGTCACCACTCACCACTAGCCCATTTTGCTGTAACAGATGTAGGTGACAACCTAATATTCTTCAGCAAGGAAGCCTAATCACAATGTGTAGCTGAAGCTGTTGGCGGCATACTCTTCAAATCATCGTCATTGTTTAGATTCTTTGGCTTCCACTCTCCCCTGTCAATTCTCCTCAGCTTCTCCAATATCACTTCCATGGAAGGTCTAATTTCCTTTTTCTGCTGCAAACATAGAAATGCCAGCTCAACAATTGAAGTTATCATTCTTTTAACTTAATTTGATATAAAATCTCATTTTTAGGTCTTACTCTACTTAGAATTTATTATGGATAACATAAAATTTACCAGAACAAAATAAATTTGAGGAATTCAAGTTTTTTAATATAAACTTTCGAATATGATATTTTTTAAATTTATGTTATGGGTTTTTTTTTTAAAAAAAAAATTATTCTATATTTGTGCTGTATTGAATCAAAATAATGAGAAATATTGTAAAAATTAGGTGAGAGTGGTTGGGAATTATTCTTTATGCTTTATTTTTTTTTTTGGGTATAAGTTTTATGGAGTGTTTTCTACAATTTTTAATTTTCTATTATTATTATAGCAAATAAATTGTCATATATTTTTAAATAAAATATTTTAATGAGAGTTTAAAAATTACGGGTTTAACGTGAAGTATATTTTTATTTTGGATATCAAATTCTATGTTAGATAACTTATCTCCCTAATATTTGTTAAAATACAAGTTTTTGAAATTATTATCCTTCATCAAGTGAACCAAACATGCCCTAACATAAAAGGTTAAATTGTTTATTAGCCGTTACTACATTATAGTAGATTTAAAACATGATAACAATTATATTTATAAATTTTTTATTAGAATTTGATTTGTAATGAATAAGCAATCTAAAATTGATCTAAAAATCTTTATGAAAAGTGAAAAGTTAAATAAACAAGAATATTTTTCAATAAAATAGTGTTATTTAAGCCCCACTGAAACTCTTTATAAACTCCATGTATCAATTTTTTTATAATTAAATTTAAAAGTATGTTATCAATTGAAATTATTAAAATATCCCCACCATCTAGATTAAATACAATTAATATTCAATAACCAATTTTTCAAACAGATTATTTTAATTCAAGATTGCGAATTCCAGCGAAAGTATTTAATTTATAATTGGCATTGATAGATGATGATTTGTATAAAAAAAAAAAAATTCTCATATTCTACCTTTTTCCT